TGAAGTGGACGACAGTACTTGTCAGATAACTGCAAAAATAATAATAATAATAATAATAATAATAATAATAATAATAATAATAATAATAATAATAATAATAATAATATAGGACTGGCAAAGTAATAATACTACTCTGATTGTTTGGATAATATTTAGGTGAAAAGCTAGTAAAATAATATTTTGAACATTTGAACGTTTGTGTTTAAACAATATTAACAGGAAAGCATTTTGGAAAATTGCATTGGAAATGTTGGAGTAAGTAAATTTATCTTCCAAATTGTGGTGAGGATATCTCCCACTAAATTGGTAGCCTGGGTTAAATGAATACATGACAAATAGTCAACTCTCGTCTGTTGGGGTAACTCTATGATTTCCATTCATTATTTCATTTATTCAACATTGAAACAGACTATTACGTGCTGAGATATTTTATTGAAATGGTTCAGGAACAAGATATCGAAAATTAAGGTCAGTAACTAATTGTTACAAGAGTGTAAGCAACGAGTGTTTCCTTGCAGGAGTATATCTTTTTTTTTATCCCAATGAATATTTTGTACTGGTGACAGCTTTCCAGATTCTTGGTTGTGTTACTCTAATTAAACATTTTTGTTGACTTTTTACTGTTGAGTGGCACGTCTTCAATGAACCCTTTATAGCAGATAGGAAGCATAGGTCGATTAAAATAACATACTGCTTGCGTCGGATTGAAATTAATTTTGTACACAACTCCAAGTATCATATTTTGGTACACTGGTATAATATTTTAGTACACTGGTATAATATATTGGTACACTGATATAATATATTGGTACACTGGTAAAATATATTGGTACACTGGTATAATATATTGGTACACAGAACTGGTCGGATTCAATATCCATACAGCGATCCTGAGTAAAACTTTCTTAACTGCGTGATTGCTCGAAGACCTGAAGTTGGTTTGTGGTTTGTAATCAAAGCGCAGCTAGTCAGCAAGATTACACGTCTCACAAGAGACGTGAGTGACTAACGCAATTGAGACTCTTATCTGGCACAACACACAGCTATCATCAACCGATATGCACCACCATGATCCACCGAGATGAGATCATGGGCATATTCTATGAAGACACGGCGTCTGGTATCGCAGGTACCTCAGGTAGATAAGCTGATCATTCTTGATGACTTCGAGGCTAGAGTTGGCACTGAACACCATATATAACCAGGATTCATGGGCAAAAACGATAAATGTAAAAGAACCGATTCCTTTTTACTAAGGAAAATGTGCTAATCGCGATTTTTTAAATACCAACACAATATTCTGCCTACCAAGTCCCAACGCAACGTCAGATGCATCCATTGCTAAACAGTAAAATCTCACTGACCACGTCATCGTCTGGAGAAGAGACAGGAGGTTATGCGTTCAAGCGATGAAACGTGCTGCATGCAGGACTGACCACATACTGTTTCCTAAATCGATTTACGCTAGCAGACGACACACGGCAAACGAGCGGTCATAAAGCCGTCTCCGTATTTAAACAGGAGAATGTGAAACAGGCAATTGCCGAGAAATGGGCATCAACTGCTAGAAACCTGATGCGAACTTTTAGAGAACGTCGTCGAAAACTGGGCATCCTTTAGACAGAGTGTAAGCGGCTACATACAAATCCTTCATTCCCATCTGACGAGAACTATGCTGTTATACGGACAGTACTGAACAAGACACTTCTTCATGTCTGACATATAATATAATATAGACTATTTCCTTTAGGCATGTGACAATCTCAGTCTCACAATCACTATCAAGAAGACATAGGTGATTCAAGAAAAACGGCTTCAAGAAAGCATTACATACAGCTTACTACCACAGTAAATAGCCAAACCCTCCTGGACGAGGATATACTTACATACCTCAACTGTACAATGTCACGTGCAAGACGAACCCAACGCCAGAATCGCCAAATGAGGCGTGAACTTTTGCAGACAATGCGCAACTATGTGGAGCACTGAGGCATCGGTCTCCAAACAAACACTGAAGGTCTATAGAGCCATTACGCTGTGTACCCTGCTGTGTGCATGCGAAGCTTGCTTGGCGTACGGACGCAATGCCAACAAGCTAAATCATTTTCGCTTGGAAACCGATGAAGTAAAGATGATAGGACATGGTCCTAACCACTTAAAGATCCAAAATCTGCGGATGAAAATTACAGATCAGACGGGCAAGTCACATCATCAGGATATCAAACATGCAATGCCAATGACGATCTGATTCGGAGAGTTGAAAATCTCGGCATTGACCTCGAATCTTGGACGATCTTGCGCAGAGTCGTTCACATGCACAATTTCATGCATACTGGAGCTACATTAGACTTCTAGCTGATGAGAATTGCAGATGCAGTGTAGAAGTGCGACGAACTTAAATCTCGAAAAGACAACACGACCTCTGTTGATTACGCAAGCCAAGCGGTATCAAGTGTACCACATACTGTCCAGAGCAAATATTTTTCTGATCAGCCACTCATTTCATTTACTCACAGAAACCAAACTAGTTAGCGATGTCATGGTCAGCACTTCGAACTGAATGATCGAAGAAATATGAATGGTATCTTAAATTCTTCTTTCTTTAAATCTGTTATCAAATTAAATGACGACAAAAAGATAATTGAATGTGCTATAAAATGATCTGAAGCTGCGTGGGCAAAAGGCAGATATATGCATGTGACATTTATAAATCAATGACAATGATGTAGAAATCTTGGAGTAAGAAGAACAATTTTTCTGCTATTCAAAGAGCATACTATACAATGTGGGTGCGCTTAGGGTATTTTGAAATTGTTATCCAGGTCGACCTGGAATACGTTTATGGACGTAAATCTTTAAGATATCGTACAATGTTTATGTATAATATAAAAACAGTCTGTCTGCGTGGGTTCGAGTCTAGGATTCGGCTAATGTAGATATCTGAGAAAGCTTGCAAGTAGCTTCTCGTGGGTCGGTGGTTCTTTCCGGTGTTTTCCAGGTTTCTTCCTCCACCATTAATACTGGCCGTCATGAATAGCCTATCGTGAGCTGAAAAATGGCGTTAAGCCCAACAACAACAACAACAACAACAACAACAACAACAACAATGTTTAGGTGATTGCGTTTTTTTTTAATGATGGTCGCATATCTATGGAAGATGGCTTACGTTCTACAACACTGTTGTATGTGATTGGTGAACGAGAAATGGCTTATGTGAAGGTATCAACTGACGAAGATGCTCGATACCCAATGAAATGTTTATAATATAATGGGTTTGCAACAAACGGGTTTCATATTTGCTGACTGCTGATCAAAAACCTATTCGGACTGAAGTTCACAAACAGATAATTAACAAATATAAGAAACAGTTACCAAGGACGTTTGTACGAGAGCGTCACAGGTGATGAAACTTGGATTTACTTTTGGAACCCGATTTGAGAGAAAATAATAAATTCTGTATCGGAGAAAACGCACAGAGACCATAAATCACTCCACATAATCGGTATAGTTTGAAGTTTTAGGGCTCAGCAACACAAGTAGGTTAGTGCCAAGGCAGTCTGCGTGAAGTGCCTTGCCCAAGGACACAACACAGTAACTGACCCCGACTAATCCTATAGGAGGATTCGAAGCCGCAGACTTTTGTTCGTGCGGTCGGCAAGCTGACCACTGAGCCTCCTCGACAAAGTCGGAATGTCTCAAGAGCTTTATCATCATTATTTAGATGCAAAAGGACCGGTCGTCTATGTCCCTGTGTCTGAATGCTAATGGCACTGGTTTTTTTGTATACCTCCAGATTATTGCCAAAAGTTGTGAACATCACCGAGACATAATCGCACCGGTAGCAGAGGTTTACATCTGCTTTGTGACAAAGCACCAGTGAATACGAGAACGCATAAATCCGTCATCTTAACAGATTTCCTTAAGGAGTAAAACGTCCACATACACCCTACATATATCCCAGATTTCACTTCAAGTGAACTTTAACTAAATTCCGTGGTGAAGGAATCGCTGAAAAGCAGACGATTTAAAAGTTTGGATGTCCCCATGTATGAGCAGCATTTTAAGAGGCAGATGCAAAACTGCATATATAATCGGATAATTAGACAGAAAGCGTGGAAAGGTTCACGGGAGTGCTATGATAGGATTCGCTGACGTTATGTTTGCTAACAACCTTTATTGAAACGGCTCACTAATATTCAGACGTTTTCAAATACCCCAAATATCCCAAGTATTTCCTATTGTTGCCAGAAACTACTCCGGTGTGCTAGTAGTTAGAGCGTTTACCTCGGATACAGAATGTCACGGGTACTATCAACTACATCGCCTGGCGCTCAGGATTAAGAGGTTAGTGTTAGGACTAGTATGAAGGTTTCCCCTACTGTGAGGTTTTGGGTGTGGGGGATAGGGGGTGGGGTGCTTCCAATATTTATTTAAATTATTATAGAACAACCAATCAGGCTCGATTTTGGTTTGGAAGCTGATTTACGTAAAGTCAGTTTACAGCTCCGAGCCCCCAATCAGCAATGCCGACGGTTACATGATTAAAGATACAAAAAGGGTGAAGATCTATAATAACAATTTAACAACAATTGGTCAATAATTCCAATTTTCCATACACACCAGCCCATATACCGTCACGACTAGGCACGCATCACCAAAAAATGATGGCACTGAGTCGGTGTTATATTGAGCTCGTGCGTAGCAGACACTCGCATAACAACCAATATATATATATATATATATATATATATATATATATATATATATATATATATATATATATATATATATATATGTCACAATATTCTGTTCATAATACTTAATAACCTTTAGTTTCAGACTGCTTCTTATACTAACTCTCCCGGCCGTGACAGACTGCCTCCCCCCCCCAAATCGACTCCCACCTGCAAAAAATCCTGCGAGCGCCCATAGGCCTAACACTAAACTCTTAATGCTGAGCGCCAAACGATGCAGCTGTTAGTACCATTTTTGTAAGTCTTTGGTAGGACTTGGCCGGAGATGGAACCCAAGATCTCACGCATCCGAGGCGGATGCCCTAACCACTAGGCCACCGAAGCGGTTGCTTGGCGCTCAGTATTAAGAGGTTAGTGTTAGGACTGGTCGGCCTGGTGTGAGGATAATGTGACTGGGTGAGACATCATGATAGATGTCTGCGGCATGATGCCCCAGTGCTAGACATCACTATAAACTGCCAATTTATAGACATCGTAGTAATATGACTGAAAAATTGTTAAAGCTACGTTAAAAATCCAAAACACACACACACACACACACACACACGTGTCTGATGAATACTGAGTAGACACCTTTGCTCAAAATCATTTTCCTCATGCCAAACATTGCAGTTAAAAAGTCACAGCCTTTTACACTTCCTTCCCATTAATAAGAATACATTGAATGATATAAACGAAAATCCATTATCGCAACGCAAATCTGAATCCTGTAGATGTTATCAATTTTGTTTTATATTTGTTATCAGGTATGTTACTACCATTTTGATCAGGAATTCTATCAAAATTAGCACATGCTGCACAAATTACCCATCTGTCACTCTGACAGAAATTTACCATCTGTCAAACTGACAGAAATGGAACCATGAATCAAAGCTTAGTGTCTGGGCTTTTAAAATGTCGGTATTCCCTCAATATTACCCACACGAGGGATTGATAAGATGCTTTGTGGCAGAAGCCCTCGTTAACGATTGATATGTCCAAACATTAACATTAATCTAAATTTCGGGGCTATCTGGCAGAAACGATCGTTAACGATAAAAAGTCTATTGTAGTGTATTAAAAGGTCCAAAACATTAACGCTAATCTAAATTTCGAGGTTGTCTGACAGAAACCCACGCTTAGGACAAACTCCAAGTCCGTCTGTTAATAATTCCCAATATCAAAGTTATTCAAAAATTTGCGTGCTTGGATTACACGACAATTTCTTTTTACAAGCATTCCTCATTCAGAATTCACGAAAACCAATTCAATACAAATGTCAAAAGTTTCGTTTTTGTTTTGAATAATTTGATTATTTGTGAGATGATATTCCGTCAAGAAAATTGAAACAATTTTTTAAAATCCTGTTTTGTCTTTGTATTTTCTTGCTATTTCAAATGTTGCTTAATAGAAAGCTGGTGCTGGTGCGCCGTTAAAATTAAATCAATCAATTAATAGAAGGCTTAAAAATATTTTAACTTTCCGATAATCCATTTTGTGACTCGCTGTTTGCTTACTGTATCTTCAAAGCCATAGAGAAACAAAATTCGATTAAATTGCTTCAAAATAAGTTTTAGAAAGTTACACAAATGTTTGTCTACCTGCAATTTACTTTACTATAAAAAACGTAGCAGCAGTTACTGTCATCTCTGACACCTTACTTCACGTCGTGACTCAAACTGTCAAAGCAAAGGTAACATAGCCATAGCAACTGACTGGTTCTACGATATCAACTTTTTGGATAAATGCTTTCTGCACATTTGTTCGGATGGTTGTTTTGCTACCATAGAAACCCGTCCATCCAGCTTTATCGATTGACAAAGCTAGTAATTGGCTTTCCCATTTCAGACACGATTGGATGTCTTAGCTTGTTTAGGTTTTCATGTACTTTCTAATAGAATAGGTATGTTTTATAAAGTAAAGTGGCATTTAATATTTTTAAGACGCGATTAATGCTTTATTAAATAGGAATGCGATATTCATTATTTCTCAGACGGTACATGTATGAAATGACAAAGCTGTTAATTTTGGTTGCGGTAGACATGATCTAAGAGTGACAGAGATTAACTTTAGCTGTGAAGAGCTTTATTTTGGTTTGGTTTTGTGGTTTTAATGCCATTTTGCAGCACGAGATAGGCTTTACTTAACGGTCAGTATACCTGAAGAAAGAACTCGGGAAGACGTTTGGAAGAAACACCGACTCGAAGGAAGATTCTCGCAAACGTTCGGATATACATAGCCTCCATTTATCACGGTAATAAACCTCCAAAAACTTCAGTTTAATTTCGGTGTGCATTGTATTACATAGGACATATGGTGTAGTATGTGTTTTATACACATTTCAAAACTGCACAGATATCTGAAATTATTAAAGACGTTTCACTGTGCTTTTCTTCAAGCTGCAATTTCTCGATGCCAGTCAAACAAAATTCATATTTGCTTTTTTGTTTCTTGGCCAGCACAAAACATTTAATTGCACCTTTTGTCTTTCTAATAAACGTTTGACTATGACCCAAAACACAGTGACATATTTATCTTTGCATGATGATGTTTTCCGTGACATAGTTTCGTTTGTCGTTATTGAGAGGAAAGTTTTTTAAATTCAAGATAAACGTTTAGCAGAGGCAGCATTATTAACTACAAAATCAGGATGTCTTTTTTATGGGATAAACAACACAGTCAAAACGTTTTCATTTTATTCTACAATAAAATGTTAATTTGTCATCCCAGGCTAAAGAAGAACATTAAAGAGCTGTGCAACGTGTAGCTTTTTTACTTTTCCTTTACTGGCCGTAAAATTCAGCAAGCTAGAAAATCACACAATGCATATAAAACTTTAAAGCCATTTTGATATGTCATATGAAGTTTGCAATTTTCAGTGGAAGTTGAATAACTTTGTTCTTGATTGCCATCTGTTTTATATGCGACAACGAATAATGGTTTTGTCCCTATGAAATAAGGATTAACACCTTATGGGTTACAATCATAGTTTTGTTTTCAGTGAATTGGTGTAACAGTTTGATTCAGTACATCAGTCTCGCGCACAGATGAGAGAATAAAACTCGCTAACAGCCAAAAATTGTTCCTGTGCTATGTTGCTGTTGTTGATGATATAAGGTTTAATGCAATTTTACAGCACAAGAATTTAGTTGAAGTGGTAATACCTCAAAAAGCTTTCATAGTATTAGATACAAACGCAAAATGTACATTAAAATGCAATAAAAATAATAAAATCTTATCACGAGATCAAGTAGTTAACTAATTTGGCTCATAATTTTTCGGGAATATAAATTTGAATTGATCGAATTATAGATCAGTCAAAAGAGCAAACAGAATACAAGTTTAATCGGTTAAACAGATAAAGAGAAAACCAAAGGTTTTTTTTAATTATTTTCTCATGGTTTTACCTTTTTGTTTATTTTGATTACCTATAGAAAATTTAAAGATAAGAGATAGAAATACAAAAGTTAAAATAATGAATAATAAATAGAAAAAAATCCATTCACGTTGATTACCTGTCAAAATCTGCATATGCAGGTCGGATAATCCGTATTTTGCAGGAAACGATTTTAACGTTCGGCATTCGTAGAAAATTTGCGGTTTTCCGATTATGGAATTTGATCTAACGTCATATATAGATTTCACAGAATGCGTGTTCTATATCAAGCAGATAAACATAATAAATTACGTAAATACAGAGACCTATAATTATAGCTTCAAATATTTGTTGCAAAGCAAATAGTTCCCAAACATTTATACCCAGAGATCAGACAAAGCCAGAGTACTAAGGGGCAAAGCATGATAAATTCAGCACTAAATACAATTTTCAATATTTTTCAAGATAACTGGTATCATGGGCAAGAAGCCTATTGCGGTAGACATTTTAAGACAGGAAAACTCTTGTACATGTTAATGGCGAAGAAGTTAAATTATAAAACTGGCAGGCAAGATTGATTAAAAAAGAAATAAGCATTGTATTACTTGTTCTTGGTTTGCGCACATCGTTGCTTCACTGTCACTTATGTTGCCGAGATAAAGTGTCAAATACAATTTTGGGGCTTTTTTATTACCGTAATAGGTCTTGCGCAAACTTAAAACGATCGAAAAAAAGTCCCATGTACATTTATTTGAAGCAAAAAAAGTCTTCCGAGCGCCAATTTAACATTGTGTGAAAATGTAAACAGGATTAGAAAACGAAAATTGTCTGGTACAGCTTTATTGGCGTCGAATTCATCAGCCAAACAACAACTTCAACAACAACACACGCGCGCGCGCGTGCGTGCGCGTGCTTGCGAGGAAAAGGTCCCATTGTGTTTATAAGTTACGTTTTTTAGATTCTTCACTGGTCATTTTTCAATGTGATATGGAACCTTGGAATAGAGCGAACATCGGGTACAATAGGTAACACGGCAGGTAGTATTGAAGGTCACACGGCAGGTAAATATTAAAGGTCACACGACAGGTAAATATTGATTACTAGGTGGATGTATTTGATTAGTTGCATTCATATTAATGTACAGGGCCGGCCTTACGGCGATTAAATCGATTCCGCGCTCACAGGCACTCCGAGCGTTAGTAATATTTAAAAAATATACATCTAGAGAAATTAATTTTAAAGCGATGGATGAAAATGTTAAATTCAGTGTCATATAAAACTTGTTTAAAAGTTTTTTTCCAAATGCTGTGCTCGTAGGGTCGCCGAGCGTAAATCCTGGAGGCCCGCCAAAATAACCCAATTTGGGCCCAGAGTATGCTAAGGCCGTTTCTGTTAGTGTATTATATTACACTTTCACTCTCTTCTTCATTTTCGCCACACGGAGATATTAACAATAATTCTAAACGAGATTCCACATCATGCAATTAACATTTTATAATTCGTTGCACGTATTATGGAAATAAATTCGCTGTTCGCAATGCGCCCCATAAATGTTACAGCTGAATTGAAATCGTCCCAGCTGACATTTTTACCGTCGGGAAAGTCGTCTACAATAATTTGACACTGTTCATTTAGCATTTAATTAACAGAAATATAAAAATATATAAGACACGTGTCGTACGAAAACAAGAGCCAAGGCAAAAGTAGGGACAAATGGCTTTACTGCAGCATTTGATGTGACCCAATTTTAACTACACGACTTGGGATTCGGAGTTGGCAGTGACACAACTGACATGTGGGATACTACATTCTAGTTACCCTTTGACCAGTTAGTCCATAGAATAAACAAAAAGAGTTTAGCAAGATTGGTAATTACCAATTGAATCCAGTCAGACACGTTTCATTAAAGTATGTCACATCGCTTATGGGGTATCTGAGAGAATTGACTGAAGTTCCCTGTGTGACCGAAATCACATTAGGTACACATTAAATAGGTAAACCCTAAAGATTTCGTTGAAAAGTGTGCAAATGATTTAATCACCATATTATATGCATAACTTCTCAACTTTCAAAACGAAGCAATTTTTTTTTTTTAAAAATATTTCATTTACATAAATATATTAGATTTCAGAACTTTTCGTTTCGTTTCAGTGGCTGAGGATAGCAAGTTTGCAGAAAAGCAGAATGGTAGCTAGTTCTTCCTTCCATTCTCTTGCCTTTTCCTAGAAAGAAAACGAGTGAACCAGTAGAGCTTTATGTAGTGAAATATCTTCGGTGAATGAAGGTAAGGAAGACTACTAGTAAGGGGTCGTGCATTAATATGTGTTGAAGAGGAACCGTGCAAAAGTCAATATTGTGTGTTTATTTCTAGGATATTCTAGTAGAGATATTGTCACAGAGTGCGAGGACCTCTTAAATGAAGATTCTGCACAGGCTTTATGGTTTGTATTCAGTCAAATATTAGCTGCACAGAGTTCGAAACCCACTGATGGTATGAAGGGGTTACATCAAGAAGGTGTGGAAAAACTCTCCTTTTTACACATCCTGTCATGATCACATCATTTGTAGTACGACATGTTTAATGGACTGTTTGGTTTGACAAGTAAAACACATTTAATACAAGGTAAAAATCTTTTCAATGCACAGTCTAGGAATGCGGTAAAGGACTGCAAGCAGCACTGTTTAATGGGAATATTTAAATACAAAAAAGCTGGGTGCAGTCTGTGATTTACTCGTTTCTCGTTTCAAATTCTGCAACCCGGACAAACATTCTTTACCTGACTGTATACAGTTTAACAAAAAAACCAAACAGTTTAACAAAAACAGTAACGACGTCATTATTGAAATGGGTTGATTATACAATGGCACTCAGATGGTGCATCTACAAGACATTAAGCATTTTCAGACAAAATGTACTTGTTAGTAATGCAGAGTCAAGACCACCGTGACAATGTAAACAGGAAGAATTGCCACCTGTGAACTTTGTATTCGGATATAATTCATCCACTTTTTCAATAATTCCGAGTGATCAGTGAAATTTTGTTTTATCTAATCGGTATATTACTGTAAACAGTCCGTGCATTCATAAACGCAGAATTTGATCCAATCTAAATGTATAATTAACTTAAGTCAGAAATGCAATCATAACCAACGTAAATTGTCCTTTTTACAAATGATCATACCGCTCCGGTGGCCTAGTGGTTAGAGCGTCAGCCTCGGATGTGGTCGGCTAGGGTTCGATCCCCGGCTTAGTCATCCTAAAGACTTATAAAAATGATACTAAGAGCTGCTTCGCTAAGCGATAATTATTAAGAGGTAGGTGTTAGGACTGGTCGGCCTGGTGTCAGGATAATGTGACTGGGTGGGACATCATGCTATATGTCTGCTGCATTATGCCCCAGTGCTAGACATCACTATAAACTGCCACGCTGCAGACATCGTAGCCATATGACTGAAAATTTGGTAAAGCTACATTAAAAATCCAACACGCGCGTGCGCGCGCCCCCCCCCACCTTCCTCCTGAAAATGTGGCAAAAACTTGAATTGCAACACCATGTCAACACAATCCTTTTGAAGGCAAGACTATTTTTTCCCCAATTATTTTAAGGAGAGAGTGGTGGATATCAAACATTATTTCTATGTAGATTAAAATTACACCCATTTTGATGTTTATGGCCCTACTTTCTTCCGTTTGCGAAGAAATTATGTTTTTGAAACCTAAACCAACGCCATTATGGTCAGTTTGAAGAAAACTGGCTTTGAAACAACAAGTCATCAGAAGTTTTCAGATTTATACAAATTATGTCAATCAACCTATAAATGCTGTTATCGTTCCAAAATAGGCAACACATTGAAATTACTTCCTCATATAAAATACATTTGGTGTTCTGCTTAATTTGTATCAACAACGTGAAGGTTCAATATGGCCCCTTTCGCAAAATAAATATAAAATATTTAATAATTCAACTGTGCAGCATCAATTTCAATCAAAAACATGCTAATATAGGGTTAAAAGATTCTGGTATGTAGACCGTTTCTTTTAGTACAAATACAGCAGATACGCTATTTTATTTGGCAACATTTAAAAACTCATGCGTTTATGCTCGTTTTAAGCTGTCTGATGAACAGGTTTCTGACGTTAGTTCCTTTCGTTTATACAATTTCTCCCTGCCATTAAATAACAAAATTTTTAAAGACTCGAAAATGATAAGGTGTTTTTATTTTTTTTTTAAATGCATCTTGAGATATTTGAAATTAATGGGTCTTTGATGTGCCATGTTAATTCACATTGCATAATTGCGTATCACCAATCCAATACGAGTCATGTTCAAATAAAAAAAAGCAAAAATGTAAATGGCTCTAATAAAATTGCGTTACCAATTTCTCTTTGTTAAATTTTAATGAACCAGCTCTTGAATTGAAGCCCGCATACATAATTGTTGCAAATATAAAAAGATGGAAACCATATGAAACATTTTACCTCCTTGGCAAGACTTCCTTTCCTACAAAACTAACGAGCATCCTTCTGTTTTCGTTTCAGATAGTTCCAGGAATAAGTGGAATCATTTTCATCCGATGATATGTTGACGTGACTTGAAAAATCTCGAATTTCATCCTTTATTATCTTAATAAGACTTGATGAATGTCGAACTTAATTTGATTATATGTTGATACGACTTGAATATCAAATTTCATTTGATGATATGTTGGCACGACTTGATGCATGTCGAATTTCATTTCTTGATCTATTGGTATCACTTTTCGTCCGAAGTTATGTTGTACGACTTTGTGAATGTCGAATTTCATTCTGTGATACGACTTTTCCTCCGAAGTTATGTTGGTACGACTTGATGAATGTCGAATTTATTCGATGATATGTTGGTCCGACTTGATAAATATAAAATTTCATTTGATGATATGTTGGCACGACTTGATGAATGTCGAATTATCTTCAGATACAGAGTCATAAGAATATTCTCCGACTTGTCCGCTTCCAAAAATGCTTTTGACTTGCTCTCCTCTATGTAGTTCCTCAAAATACAATAGCGCCTTTGGTAAATTACTTGTTTGTTGTTAGCATTATGGAAATAATAAAAATAAATTTGACGTGGAAAATTATATAAATTTCATGGCATGTGCTCTGGTATTACAGATCGTGGCTGACTCGAACTCAACATAATGCACTATGATTTCCCTGCTTTGTTAATTATTTGGAAGTAAATGTAGTAATTATTTCATTTATTTAAATTGTCAAGTTACATGCTATCATGTTGCAAATGAATGAAGAATTTGTAAAGAAAACAACCCATCATAGTTAAAAATGTAATAATTTTGTATGGAGTGTATATTTTGTAATATTAGCGGTCGACTGTAATGTTTGTGTTTGGTTTGCATGTAAAGTTGACATCTCTGAAGGAAAAGTAATAACCAATGTGTACTTGCACTAATTACATTGCAATATAATTTATAGCATAAAGCACGAACCCAGACACAAAATTTGAGAACATAATAAATTGTCATTTTCCAAACATAAATGAAGAAAAAATAAAATTTTGAATCAGATAGTATATATACGCTTTAATGTCGGATCCAAGTATAAACTGCATTAACCCCGATATTTCGTCGCATAATGTACCGGCAGAAATGGGTCTATGCAGTGTATGAGGACTATTCACATAGAACCTGATGTTCCAACACATTATGCGACGACAGATAAGAGTGGGGTTCTTTTCCAAGTGAACCCGACTTGAGAGCAGCAAATTTCTTGTTTTCTTTACACATTTGTAGTGTTCGTGTATTTTAAGAGACTCAGCGAGTGGTTTAAAATTTATCGTATACTTTCATTTATTTGATAGTGCAATGTTTGATCACGTCTCCCTCATATCTATAAAAATGACTACGTTTGAAGCTTAAAAAGCAAGCAAAATCGCTCAAATTTCGTGAAAGTCTGACAGTTGTTACTATCTTCAAAGCTTAATTGGCTGCTTACCGTATTGATTTCGTGGTGTTGATTTATCGGTATTGATTTATCGGTATTGATTATCGGTATTGGTTTATCGGTATTGATTATCGGTATTGATTTATCGGTATTGATTATCGGTATTGATTTATCGGTATTGATTTCTCGATATTGATTATCGGTATTGGTTTATCGGTAATCAAGTTTCATCATATGTCGGAAGTACACAATACTAATTTGACTAAGAGATTGTGTTACTGTGGGCTGCTAACCAGTCTGAATCACTTAGTTATACTAAAGGCGGAATAATGCAATAAACAAAACAGCTATTGATCAGAAGCTAGTTCTAAAAAAATATTTAAATATTTAGCATTATTATTCTGGAATCGTTTTTTTCAGGAATGTAAATAAAGTTCATTGACCACACAAAATACATCTTACATGTCACTAAAAGGATATTGTTTGGTTAGGTGTTTAAAATGCATCTTCCATGTCACTCAAAGGATATCGTTTACTTTGGTGTTTAAAATGCATCTTCCATGTCACTCAAAAGATATCGTTTACTTTGGTATTTAAAATGCATCTTCCATGTCACTCAAATTATATCGTTTACTTTGGTGTTTAAAATGCATCTTTCATGTCACTCAGAGGATATCGTTTACTTTGGTGTTTAAAATGCATCTTCCATGTCACTCAAAAGATATCGTTTACTTTGGTGTTTAAAATGCATCTTTCATGTCACTCAAAGGATATCGTTTACTTTGGTGTTTAAAATGCATCTTCCATGTCACTCAAAGGATATCGTTTACTTTGGTGTTTAAAATGCATCTTCCATGTCACTCAAAGGATATCGTTTACTTTGGTGTTTAAAATGCATCTTCCATGTCACTCAAAGGATATCGTTTACTTTGGTGTTTAAAATGCATCTTTCATGTCACTCAAAGGATATCGTTTACTTTGGTGTTTAAAATGCATCTTCCATGTCACTCAAAGGATATCGTATGGTTTGGTGTTTAAAATGCATCTTCCATGTCACTCAAAGTATATCGTTTGGCTTGATATTCAACAGTCCAGCAGCACATGAAAGTATATTTCGTGCTAAAACAACTGAAAGACGGAGCATGCGGGAAACAAAAACAGCTGCCTACACGGCATTCTTTCGGCAGGATGTGAACATGATCGAAACGCTAACCATAGAGCCACCGCAACTCACTCCACACAAAGGAATGTGATTGAACTGTCGGATGCTGGAGTATCTTCTTAACTGGCTAATGCTACAGCGAATTTCTTGTACATGTCAATATGGGTCCACTTGTGATCGACACAATAATAGTTACTGTATATTCAGTGCCCCTTTTCTACACCAAGACAAACTTCGAGTAATATTATCCATTTTTCTCTGTTCAATTACTTCAACATTCGTGCCTATCAGGTCTTAATAAAACATTTCTGAAAACAATAATTGAAAAGCCAAGAGGTCAAAGACCGGTTGCAAGTTTGGGACATTGAGCTACCCGATATGATTAGCTGAGTAGAAGGTCCCAAGCCTGTTGAACTAAACTGTGTCACTCGAGTAAGAGGATGGGTTTAGATGTACTTCATTGTCTCAAATATATTCACAAGCCTTCAGACGATTTAAAATACACGAAGAGGTTCTGCAATAAAGAACCATCGTTCGTTCACTGGTGTGAAATGAAAGGGTAAATATTAAAAGGACAAAGACGACGAGCTTCTCTTTCAACCATTGAGAGCTGCTACCAACCTGGTATTCATGAAATTGAGCCGCTCACCTCGTGTAATATTCAATTCACTAAGTTTCGTTTAAAGGGAAAGTTGTGCAATCTAATTTTCTTTTACTTATGGAAGCCAGCAGTTTAAAATGTAATGCAGGGTTGGCTCTATGAGAGTTCTGGATCACCATCAGTTGGTTATGAGCATGTTCTTGGCAAGGGCACTTCGTTGTTATGATATAATCAGTAATGTACACAGAGTGCCAGTAAAATCCAACTAAGATGGTCACGGTGGTGTCTCAGGGCAATGTACTTGTCCCCCTTTGCCTCGGACAAAACAAAATTCTAACACAAACGAACTGTTAAATACAAACCAGAAAGCTACGTTACATCCGTCTCCGTATTACGGGATATCATAAGATCGAGCGCGTAATAAAGCTACGTCACATCCGTCTTGGGATACTATAAGATCGAGCGCATAATTTATCAGTTCTTGAATTCTGGTAATTTGTCGTCTCAGTTTTTAATTCAGCGGTATCTTATTTCTTTTTAATCCATTGCAATTC